TGTCTATATCAGGTAGATTGCAGGAATGTATCTATAAGATTTTATCTTACTGGTATGGATGCCCAACTACCCTTCTTAAGGGGGATTTCATATGCTGTAAGGTAAAAGGGAAACAGGAATCAAGTGGTATCGAAAGGAGCTCAGGGTAGGCTTTAGCTGTGTATGTATGATAACTTATTCAAAAGCAGGCAAAAGGCCATCAGTGATTCTAGTTAGAATATGTTGGTTCAGGGCAGGGGCGGACTGACAACTCATGGGGTCCCCGGGCAATAGGGGATCATGGGGCCCCTGTGTCCTTGCCCAAACTAAAAAAAGCCTATGAAAAAGGTACCAGGGGCATCTCATGGGGCCCCCTACTGACCTGGGCCCTCGGGCAGTGCCCGAGTTTCCAAATGGTCAGTCCGCCCCTGGTTCAGGGGTAGGCAACCTTGCTGCTCAAACTGTGGTGAAACTACAAATCCTATCATGCCTCTGCTTCTGAGAGTCCTGCCTGTAGTTTTAAGAGTTGTGCAATGCCTCTTGGGATTTTCGGTTTCTCCAGGAATGCCTGAAGTTGTCTGCCTTTGCACTTGCTGCAATGCATGCCACCCTTCTAAATAGAGAGTGCACATGGCTTACTGAACCAGAACACTCTCAGCCACAGTGACACATGCACTCTTGGCATCTTTATAGGTAAAATCTCATAAAAATTTCTATATCAATTGCCACCAACATTGACCAGTCAGAGCTTTGTATAAGCAGTCTCTATTTAATATATTTACAAGCTATTTGCTATTTTCCTTATTTCTAATTCTTAGATATCCTTATGTATTGAAAATATTTAAAGGATAAGTTCACCTTGTGGGCAAAAAATAATAAATGCACATTTTTTGCAGGTCAAAAAAATGTGCATTTATTATTTTTGTCCAAAGCAGCCTGTAAAGCATTACACCAGCGATCAGTAGATCACTGATGCCATGCAGGTCTTCTGCAGACCTGTCAGAATATCTGCTTGCCGTACTTCTGTCGGGACTTATAGGCACTCATTCACTGAACACTGTAAATGAGTGATGTGTCTGTGTGGGTGGAGCCCCACATGGCCACGGTGTTTTAAATATGACAGATAGTATGGGGAGACTTCTTCCCGTACTATCTGTCAGAGGGAGTGGGGTCCATGAGCACGGCTGTGGCTATGGAAACATGTTACATGTTCCACCCTAAAAACGGGGGTGGAACGTGTAACATGTTCCAAAGGTGAACTTATTCTTTAAATATATCTACATTAAAAAAAAGAAATTAAGAGCCATAATTTAATCCATATACTAGTCTCCACTATTCTATGCTATTATTTTCTATTCTATGTTATACATATTTGCAATGTTATATACATGCAGCTCTATCCTATCCATAATAATAAATACATAAAAAAAAAATGAATCTTACATCTATACCTAAAAAGAAATCTATTATGAGTTTACCCTCCCTGGCGGTATTCCCGAGTGTAGCTCGGGGTAAAGTTTCTGTACCAAAAACGGTAACCCCAAGCTGCACTCGGGATTACCATGCGGCGCTGCTCAGGGAGTCCCTCCAGCACTTACCTTGTCCTTCGCTCCCGCGATGCGTCCCCTGCAGAGTCCCCGGCCATCTCCTCCGGCTGATGCCAGCATCCGGCTTCTGTGTTCCGGTCCCTGTGACGTCGGGACATACGGGCGGGCGGCGGCGGCGGCGGGAAATTTAAAAAAAAGTCATTTTTTTCAAAACTAATTTTACATAGTAAAACATTGCTGTTTCAAACCATTTCACATACATTTTGTCCCGAGTGCTTTGTCCTGTCCCGTCTGCATTTTGTCTGTTCTTTCTGCCTGGAAACTGAGAAACTTCCATGGCGTCCAAAAAGCGTCCCTTTAGGTCAAAAGCGGTTTTAGACCGGCTAGAGAACAGCGATAGTAAATCAGAACCACTTGCAGAATTGAATGATAATGATTTGTGGAGAAATTCGTCATCAGACACTGAAAACAATTTTGCGACTTTGCTCAGTGATGTGCGAACTTGGCGCTATATTTCAAATTTCAGTGTTTTTGGTTTGATTATATTATTGAATTAAATGTATTATTATTATTATATTATTTTTTATGATTATTTATTAAATTATAATTTATGATTTTGTGTTTCAAATTTTATCATACCCGGGATGTTTAATAGACTCTTGTTCGGATAGATTTCAGTGAGTTATTCCTAAAAATTACAGCCTACAATAAAAAAACGACATATTTCCATGCAAAATAATGGTACCGCTTTCAGCACCAAGAATCTGAAATAATCATACCGCCAGGGAGGTTAATGTAATCACTATTTTAATATGAATTATGTGCTATGATGTGTCGTTATTTTTTTATTTTCCTTTTGTTTCTTTTTTATTTCTTTTATTATATAAATCATGTATAAACAATAAAAATCATGTAAGACAAGATGCTATTAATGCCAACTTTTATGTGGGTATTTATTAAAAAAGAGTGTATTTAATCACATTGATTTATCTAATTATCTATTTATCAGTTGTTATATACTACAAAAAAAAAGTTTGTATCTAATTTGTCATAAATGTCAAATAGTGACCATTATTTTAATTTTTTTAACATTTTAAAACAATATTTTATGTGCAATCCTTATATTTTATTCAACGTTTTGCACACCTATCCTGATTACGTGGCCATAACAGCCCTATGAAATGTGTTGATGTTTTATTTCTTTATTGTTGCATGACAAACACATACACTTCAAAGCAAGACCGGGACAAAGGGTGGGCAGGAGAGACATCTGCTCTTGGCAGTGTGGTAAAATGTAAGGTGGGGGGGGGTGCACTGCAAGGGGGTTGAATGGGGAAGAGGATTTGTGCTAGGATGGGAGATTTGTGTTAGAAGAGGTAATATGGTAGACAGGGAAGGGGAATTGTACTAGGAGGGGAATTTTTTGTTTCAGGGGGACTTATCCTAGCAAGGATGATTGGGGAGGTATTTGTTCTAGGAGCGAAAATTTGGAGAGAGGAGAGTTTGTGCTGGGAGGAGGGATTTAGAGGAGGGGGGATAGGCTGTGTACTCAGAGGGAAAATTTGGGGGCTAAGGTGATTTTTTTCATGTGGGGGGGGGGAGATCATTTGTGGATTTGGGGGATTTGGAATGATATGTCGCTCAATAAGTTTGTGATACCTGAGGAGATTGAGAGGGCGAGATGAGGAATCAAGAGATAGATCTGGGTAGCATTGAGTTGGTATTGGAATCCATGGGAGGTTATCAACTGTCCCAGGGAAAAGGAATAGAGAGAACAGGAGGGGGCCTAAGGATGGAGTCTTGGGGTATCCTGGCAGAAAGAGGAAGAGGAGCGAAGGAGATGGTGTTGTATGTGACACTAAAAGTGCGCTGAGATAGGTTAGAACCAGGAAAGAACAGAGTCACAGAGGCAAAGTGGAGTTTATTGAGGAGAAGTGGGTGGTCAACTTCGCAAAAGGCAGCAGAAAAGTCCAAGAGTATGAGTATGGAGTACTGACTGTTGGTTTTAGCAGTTAGTAGGTCATTGGTGCAATTGGTGAGTTTTAGTAGGGCAGTTTCAGTGTAATGTTATGGGTGGAAGCCAGACTGTAGAAGATTGAGAATGTTGTTGTCAGCGAGCAGGGGCAGACTGACAACTCATGGGGCCCCAGGGCAATAGGGGATTGTGGGGCTCCTATGTCCTTGCGCAAACTCAAAAAAGCCTATGAAAAAGGTACCAGGGGCATCTCATGGGGCCCCCTACTGACCCCGGGCCCTCGGGTAGTGCCCGAGTTTCCAAATGGTCAGTCCGCCCCTGTCAGCGAGTTAGAAACTCATATGATTGTGGACAATGCATTCAAGAAGCTTGGAAGCATTCTGTAGCAGGGAGATGGGGCCTTAAGTCATTCAAACAGGTGGGGTCCAGTGAGGATTCTTTAGGTATGGGGGTAACCAGTGATTGTTTGAGCGGGGAGGGAAAAGTGCCAGAAGAGAGGGAGAGGTTGAAGAGGTGGGTTAAAGAGTTTAGGATAGAGCAGGAAGGTGGTTTCAGTAATTGTGAGGGGACAGGATCCAGGGGGCAGGTGGTGAACTTCCTTAGTGGTAACAGGGTTGAAAGAGGAAAGTATTGAGTGTGGTGTTGGACTTACTGTGTTAGTTGGAGGAGGAAGCTGGATGTTGGATATCTGCTCATGAATTGTGTCGATTTTGTTTTTGAAGTGGTTGGCAATCTCCTGTGCAGTAAGCAAGTTGGTGGGTGGAGGCAGTGGGGGGGGGGGGGGGGTGAAGTAATGAATTCATTGTAGAAAAGAGTTGACGGGGTTGGGATGAGAAGGTCATTAATTACTTCAATTACACCCCTATAGGATGAGAAGGAAGAGAGTGAAAAAGATAGATGGGTACAGTTTTGAGTTCCAATGTGCACCATTGCTTAGGTTTGAATCATCCATTCTGCCTGTAGGGGTTACCAGAGAGAGATGTGCAAACTGTGGGGAAATATCAGCATCCTCCTACACCAGACAGGTCCAGTGTACAAAGAGTCAAAAATTTTTTTTTAATTGGAAAATCCTTATACTGCAGTATCCATCATATTTGGGGGTTTAGACACTTGCCCTTCATCAGAGCGTATGTATTATTATCCTCAAAATGGCTAGACTCAAATGGATTGTGATAATAGTTGTATATATAAAATTAGATCCCATTACCAGCAGTTTGGGGTACATAATACATACGTCCTGATGAAGGGAAAACATCTGATCCCCTAAAATATGTTGTTTTGCTTATACCACTGATTAATACAAGGTTTTTGATTCTTTAACCACCAAGCTACATTCACACTTCCTAAAACGAAAATGCACGTTGCTGTTGGCTTTTTTTTGCACATCTCTGGGTGTAATTTGGCTATGTGAATGGGCTATTCTATGCACAACAAACATGCCATAGAAGCTCCCACGCCTTTGCAGGCATGTAACATCATGCATTTCTCAACAGCGAATTTGCCAGTTGATCAGTGCCGCCTATCAGTGCCACCTATCAGTGCCAGTCAGTGCCACCTATCAGTGCCATTCAGTGCCGCCTATCACTGTGTATCAGCGCCACCTATCAGTGCCTGTCGGTGCTGCCCATCAATTGCCGCCTAACAGTGCCAGTCAGTGCATCTAACAGTGCCAGTCAGTGCTGCCTATCAGTGCCAATCAGTGCCACCTATCAGTGATGCCTATAAGTACCGCCTATCCAGTGCCATATATGAGTTCTGCCTTTCAGTGCCCATCAGTGATGCCTGTCAATGCCCATCATTGCCACCTGCCAGTGCCTCCTCATCAGTGCCCATCAGTGCCACCTGTCAGTGCCCATCAGTGCAGCCTATCAGTGCCCATCACTGCAGGCTCATTAGCGTGTGATGGATTTGGTAAAATGCCTACAGTTAGTTTCCTATTGAAATATATATATATATACGCTATTTCTATAAGCCATATGTTGTGGGAATATTTTTCAGTGCTGGGCCTATAAGAAATCCTTGCTTAAGAAATGCCTTCACATGCCCCTCAGTGCCACCTAACCATGCCTGGAAGAAGATCCTCATCATTGTTTTCGTGTGGTGCCCATCAGCTGTTCTCCACCTGTCAGTAAGTCCATCAGTGCAGCCTTGTGTATCAGTGCCCATCACTGCAGCGTCATTAGGCGAACAGCACCGGACGATTTCAGTCCTTAACTAAAAGCGCACATCAATGAAGGAGAAAAATCACTTATTTACACATTTTATAACAAAAACTAAGAAAAAACTTTTTTTTTTTCAACATTTTCAGTGGTTTTTGGTTTGTTTAAGAAAAAATAAAAAAACCAGAGGTGATTAAATACCACCAAAAGAAAGCTCTCTGTCTCAAAAAATGATAAATATTTCATATGGGTACAGTGTTGCATGACTGCGCAATTGTCATTCAAAGTGTGACAGCGCTGAAAGCTGGAAATTGGCCTGGGCAGGAAGTGCCCTGTAGGCTAGTGGTTAAACTTGTTGCCCATGGGAATATATTTTGCAGTGTGTTCATATACAGTCTTTTTGAAGAACTCCCATTTCTGTGTTGTGTTCATTGATGCCAATATTCCCTCCCAGTCTAAGTCTTGGAGAGCAGCTCTCAGCCATGGAAAATTAGCTCTCTTAAAATTGAGCGTTTTTATTATTCCCGTATGTGCTCTCTGTTTACAGCTAACAATAAATGAAATCATGGTAGAAAATGTATTAATGTGGAATGCATGTTCCTTGCCAGGGGCGGACTGACAGCTCAATGGGCCCCCAGGCAATAGGGTATCATGGGGCCCCTGTGTCCTTACCCAAACTCAAAAAAGCCTATGAAAAAAGGTACCAGGGGCATCTCATGGGGCCCCCTACTGACCCCGGGCCCTCGGGCAGTGCCCGAGTTTCCAAATGGTCAGTCTGCCCCTGTTCCTTGCTAAAGAATATTTTATCAAATTGTTATGGGTAAGGTTCCACTTTAAGTCATCTTAATCAATGTGCATTTTTTACACAAAACTAGATATTAAAACTAGGGGAGCTGTTGCTTCTTATGCATGTACCCAGCAGTAAAAAATCTTGTCAGGTTCGTATTCTACTCTCCCAAGCAAAACGACTTGACTTTAGATATATTCTTTGTTCTAGAATTTTATTGGGTTTTTAACAGAGATGGATGACATAGCAGACATAAGATTGATTTTGACATATAAAGGAAAGAGAATATACAATAGTTCGGATTGGACACATAGCACTCATATTAAGATCAAATTATATATACAATATAAAAAAGGAGAAAAAAAAGAAAAAGTCCTCAATGATTACATATTAAACAAATAGTGAAAAATTAAATAGAAAAAAAAAAAGATTTCAGGTTAATGAAACCAAAGTACTAAGTAAAAATGAAGGTGGCAATGGAATGTATTGATATGAACCAGGTGAAGATCAAAGATAAAAAAAAATAAAAAGTAAAGGTAATTAAAGGTAAAGATTACCTATACATGGATTGGTTTAATAAAAAAAATGCTAATAAGAGATAATATAAAGATAAATTGACAGGAAACATAAAGGAAAAAAAACCAAAATGTATTTAAAGAAACGTGTTTTCCACTTCTTACTACTTAATAATATCTCAAAACTGCTTGTTACTTTTTTATTTTTGCATCTATTCTATGTTTTCTACGTATTTTATAGCTACTTCCAATAATTTTACAATTAGAGAGCACTTTAACAAACATAGAAAACAGACTGTAAAGGAATGAGCTTCACACTTTTATTTACATACAAAGAAATCATGTTATACAGGTCAGTTTAGATTTCTAGAATGTAGAGTTTATCCGTAGGTGGAGAAGAAAAGGTCTAATTTGCTCCAACATGAAAATAAAATAATGTTTTGATCCTCAAAGGCAACCAGATAATATTGTTTATTAACATTCTTGTTGTTTACTAAAATTATTAGTAGTCATTGATTTATGTAGAGATAAACCATACATTGCCAATTGTAAATGTCTGCAACAAATATACTAAAAAGACGTAAACCAAAAAAGAACAATTTGAAGAATTAGGAAGGCTTCATCCAGTCAAGACTCTAATTTGTGTTATTGGTTGATGTTAGTGGTTGACCCACTCCACTGGTTTTTACCATTACTTGGTAAACAGGGATGGCAGCTGTAGGGTATGCATCTGATCCATAGGAAGGCAAAAAGGTCCAACTTGCTCCATCACGAGTACCAAATAGTGTCTCAATCTACCAAAGCAATCAGATAACCCTCTATGTTAACGTTCCACAATGTGATTTGTTGATATTAGTATCTATTCAAATACATCATTAAAGGTAAACAGTATATTGTCAATGTTAAATGTCCAAAAACAAATATACTAAATATTGGAATATTTCCAAGAACTATGAGGGCCTCATACAGTTGTCAGTGACATTTTTGCAACAGATTGATATTGGTAATTAACTCACCCACTAGTTTTTACAATCACTTGAGGGCTTCAGCAGCAGCATATTTCTTGGTCTTCTCACTAACACCACTGCTGTGAAGCCAAGAAAGACACTGTTTTTCCACCAGTTTCAGAGTAAGGCCATTTAGCTGGAACAAGTAGATGTAGAGACTTAGACAGAGACCTTGCTAGGGTGTAGATACAGTATATTTGGGGGTGAGTTGCGGTGGTCTGACCCCTAAAATAACCCCTCTTGTTAACAATCTAGGTTATTAGAACTTTTATGTCTTGGCACATGTTGGAAGACCATGCCACATTTCCAGATATATCTCTTTTAGTTTTGAATTGCTTGCTATGATAAAGGCTGAGTGGAGTAATGTGGGAGCGTTCGTTACAATGCTGTTCAATACTTTCCAGGGACTGCCTTTAGGCTGGGATTCAGATGCAGTAAAGCAAACACTTACAAATAACACCACATAACAGAATAGGAAGAGGACCATACTCTTGACAACATTGAAGTGGGAGATTCTGGGCTTCAGGAAGATGAATAATTTTATGGCTGAAGTTTGTAATCTTCACACAATAAAATACACAGAGGACAGTGGTGATCCAGAAGTTGGCGAGATCAAAAACATACCCATTACTAAAATTGCTGAAAGAAAGCATATAATCGAATCAACCAAGGAAATACAATAAAAGTAAATAATATACCAAACTGAAGAGCTACGAAAGCTTCTGAAAATCCCCAGACAGGTGAGGATCTTGTCACAGGTGCCCAGAGTTTTAAGCTCCTTCCATTTCCTCAGGTAAACAGAAACAATAAAGACATTTATCTTGATTCCCACAAAGCACACAGCCAACAGGGGACAGCTGTAAATATCTTCTTCAGAATGAATTCCATAGTATGAAATGAAATCTTCCTTCCAGACAGATACTGTGTGTTGAGACTTGACTGTAGAGTCCTGCAAAAGGCTGTGTGTAATGATCAGGATACGCTGAATGTTATATAGAGTGAACTTGCTCCTGTCGCTCATGTAAATTCAAGAAAAGTGTTTTAAATTTGCATGAATTGCTGTCTCCATGGAAAATATGATAGAGTTGAAGATGATTTAGAAAGTTGCAGTCTGTCAGAGCTGTATTTTGCTCTACTTGTAAATGTGTCCTTGTTACTTATATAGAAAACATAGGTCTATTAGGAAATAGACCCTGCAAATTCCAATAACTGCAACATAAGTGTCATAGGATAAAAAAGCTTAAAGAGCCCAACACTGGATCAAAAAAATGTAGTGGGGCTGTGCCCGCACTGCATGGGTTAACTGCTCATTTTTCATCTAGTGGGGATTGGAGAAAAAAGAGATATACTTACCTTATCCTCCGATCCCCCCAAGCACAAGAATAGGGTCTCAAGCACCCCAGTGCTCGAGTGGCCTTGAGTTGTTTACTGTTTCTGATATTATCAAGCCGAGATCAGGCTCCATAGACCAGGACCAATCCCACTGATGGACCATGGGGATGCACCTTTTTCCAGTGGAACGAAGGATGAGGTAAGTATAAGCTTTTTTCTCAGCCCTAGACAGCAGTTGCCCCATGAAAGAGCGGGCACGAGCTGCATGGTAAAACTTTTTCTCTCTGCCCACAGTTGGGCTTTAAAAAAAGGATAAAACCTCATGGACTATTTGGTCTTTTTTGGCATTACCCTTCTATGTTTCTCTGTTATTGCCTGCTTAACAATTTCCTTCAATAAAGCGTCATTAACACTAGGCATCAGCTGATGTTCTTAGAAAATTTTTACAGCAATCTGATTCAATCCCCAGCTAAACTTTGTACTCCCCTTGCGGGTTAGGGACTGATGTGAATGTGCAATATATATGTAAAGCGCTGCGTAAATTGATGGCGCTATATAAGTACCTGAAATAAATAAATAACTTGCTGAAGAATCTCTAAATAGGCTCCTTCCAAAGCTTCCCCTCATCCCCTCATAGTCCATACCTGTGGCCACATCCTTTGATGCCTCTGATGCCTTTCATCCCTATTGGACTTAAAGTGTTACTAAACCCAGGACCCTGCATTCACTATATCTGGTCTCCCACAGTACACAGAACATAGAAAATGCAATTATTTTAGTAAATATAAACAGCTAAATGCCTTTTCTCATCAGCAGTTGGAGCAATCTTGTGACTTCTCTTTAGTGTTCCAGCAGAGCACGGGGTTAAAGCTTGTAGGAGGAGTTTTCTTTATGCTCTAGGAGGATGCAGCACCCTGACCTCTGTCTGGACAGTGCTGATTGGCCCTGTGCTGATCACATGCACTCTCCCAAGAAAAAAATAAAACTCTCTACCAATACACACAAAAACTGAGCATGCGCAGAATGTCTCCACACAATATGTCTTTTCAGGATATAAGAGGTGGACACTGGAAGAAGGGGAGGATCAGAGAAGT